CACAATAAAAACACAAAATAAAGTCAACAGTAGTTTCATACTAGTGACTAAAGAGAATATTCAAAATCATTCATACATATATATATAATTTAACTACAGTATTTAGCTATTTTCAAAAAACCCAAAGAATGTTTACATTTTAAATTGGATGGGACCTGAAGTCACTTAATCCAATAACATCCAAAATAAGTATCAATCTCTGCCCCACCCAAAAATGTCCCTGTAGGGCGCTTGGGTGGCTCAGTCATTAAGCGTCTGCCTTCGGCTCAGGTCATGATCCCAGGGTCCTGGGATCAAGCCCCACATCGGGCTCCCTGCTCAGCAGGAAGCCTGCTTTTCCCTCTCCCACTCCCCCTGCTTGTGTTCCCTCTCTCGCTGTTGTCTCTCTCTGTCAAATAAATAAAATCTTAAAAAAAAAAAAGTCCCTGTAGACTGCTTTAAATTCTTATCACTATAGGGGAGCCTGGGTGGCTCGGAAGGTTGAGTGTCTGCCTTCGGCTCAGGTCATGATCCCAGCATCCTGGGATCAAGCCCCACATCGGGCTCCTGGCTCAGCGGGGAGCCTGCTTCTCCCTCTGCCTCTCTCCCTGCTCATGCTCTCTCTCTCTCTGTATCTGTGTCTCAAATGAATAAATAAAATCTTAAAAAAAATTATCACTATATATGTTTTTTTAATTTAAATTAAATTTTGTTAGGTAACATATATTGCAATACTGGTTTCTGGAATCACTAAATACTTTAAGAGCAGTTTTTTTCCACTAGCTGCTCTACACTTCTTACATCCTGGTCAACAAATTATACTGAATTCCATCTATGCCTTTCTAACTTTCACCTGCTGGTCTACATTCTAAAACAGCAGAATGGATCTACTATTTATGTTTCTGAAACACCTGAAGACAGCTATCACACTTTCCACCCTTTCAGTGGTCTCATCTTAGGCTATAATTATATGGTTCACAGATTTCTTGTGGGTCTTGGAGACAATTCTGAAATACAATATACTCACATATTGCAAGTAACATTTTAAAAAAAGATCTGCCACTTGTCAAATTTTGGTGTAATATCAAAGAATACATACAATTTCTAAAAGGACGATTGAAATACATCAAGTTTTCTAACTACATACCTATGTGAAGCTGGATTCTCTTCACAATATCTCAATCAAAATAAATCACAACAGACGGAAAGCAGAAGCAAACTCTAGCCATCTCTAATAGGCCAGAAATTAAAGTGATGCAAAAATGTAAAACAATGCTACTAGTCTCACTAAAGTTTTTGTTTTAGAATTATCATTCATTTAAAAATTTGTTAACAAGTAATCAGTTTATTATTTTTAGATAAGTTAGTATCTTTGAAATTATTTCTAAAATAGTATCAATAGACATAACCCACATAAACAAAATCTCTATCGAGTCCTCAGTAACTTTTAAGAGAGTAAAGGGTTCCTGAGACCAAAAAACCTGTTTCCCAAAGACAGATTCCCAGACAGCTCACTAAATTCTGGGATTCTTTCCTTTTCTCTCTCCGCTAACACATAAATGTGCCTCTATAAAGGAAGCATCTACCATGGATCTATTCATAAGCTAAAATCCTTAAACATAAAACCCTGTCCTCCTCCAGCTAGTGACTTCAAGAAACTAAAAGGCCATTTGGTATACCTTTACTTTTAACAACTCCCTACAGGTAGGTATTACTCAATCATCCAGAGTCAAATACTTTAATTCTTCTAAAGGACGCAGTCTGTAAACATGAAAACAGAGCAACAGTTTAATTACACTGTGACATTATCTTTTTAACCAAACTACTTTCACTATTTACATAAAATTATTAAATTATTCATATCTGGTAAAATAGAACAGAAAAAAAATGCAAGCCTTCTGTATAATCATATGATTCTTAGCAATAACTAATTTAAAAGTAACCATGTACTGCCAGGACAAAAAAACCCCATCTGCTCATCTAGCCAATATGACACTGGGTTCCTAGGTCTCAGAACAACACTGACTTCTATTTGAAAATTTACTTAATTTCTTAACTTCCCATTTCCTTAATCACAGGATTATTAGAAGATAAAATGGGACAGAAATCACACGTTTAAGAGATCCAACATGAAATCTAGAGCTACACTGCTGAGCACCTCTCAGGGAACTTCAAGATTGATAAAAGAAAAGCTTTGGGATTCAGGAAAAGAAGCTGTCTATACTATATCATACAAATTCCTAAATTCCAACAAATTCCTAGATCTTTTAATATTTAAAAGTGTATTTTATTTGTAATCAATTTGTAATCAACATTAAGATGAGAATGAGATCAGGGTGAGAAAGGAAGAAAGTCAAAATACGCAGTACTGAAAATAGATTATAATATTAGATTTTTGGTTTCAAATATATCAAAACTTCAAAATAACCAATTTTTACAGATATTTATGATACATCTTCAAAAACAGCCCATTTTCAAAGTTAAGTTTGCTTAAAAGCAGTTAATCACATAACTTTAAAATACATGTACACACATATGTATCTTTTAAGTTTAAATTTTTCTATCATATATTACATTAAATTGCTTCAATTTTTCAGAAACAGTTTGTTCTCACCTTGATACATATATTCAAGTTCCACTAATATTAACTATTCTTACTAACAATCACCGTAAGTCCAAAGCTCTCTCAACTTACATCAATTTATATAATATACTAATGTGGATACCTGCAAGAGATGCTAAACACTTGTTAAAATGAAAACTAGGATCTCACTCAATAGAAAATGTCCCCATCATTATGTCTAGGGTTTCATATATGCAATTCCTGTTAGCATTAATGATATCTGAGACTATATCTTCAAGATAAATATATATATCCCTAGAGAAGATTAACACAGTTTTAACTTACATACTGGTCGGTCAAAAAGAAATATACCACTGTGGCCATAGAGGTATTTGGTGAAATATAACGATCACAAAAGCATGTCTTATTTCATTAACAAAAGATTCACCAATTTACTTTACATAAAAGCCTACGGTAATCCAAACTTCTAGAAAGAATTGTTTATTTGGAAATTCAAGCTAAATTATTCCAACCCCTCAAAATTTTCAAACATCAGGAAAAGTGCAGAATAGTACAGAAGTTTTTTTTAACTACAGTTAAAGTAACCTCAGAAACTCACAATCTAGATTTTGCAGCCCCCAAATTACTAACACTGATAACTGATGTTACAGATGAACAATTCAACACTATGTCCCCAGTATCTAGTACAGTCCCTGGCTCACAGAAATGGCTCAATAAATATCTGAGAAATGAAAGAATGGAAAAAGGGTAAAGCCTTTAAAAAAGACAGGCTTTCCCAAGACCATCACTTACCATCACTCATTACACTATCACTGATAACATTAAGCATTTAGCATTAATCATTAAGCATCTTAATGAAACTACAAAAATAGAAGCATGCTAAAAGCATCAACTGCTCTATGTACAAAACACATTTTGAAACATTCATTTACAAATTTTCAAGTGCAAAAAGAAAAATCTCCAGATGCACTAAATCTGAATTAGTCAATAAATAAACTTTTGTCTTCTAATAATCAGAACTCAGTGTTGGGGGTGAGATGGAAAAGAGGGAAAATGTCTGTCAGTGTGTTCAGCATGTTTAATGGATGCCATAAATCAAACCTTTCCATGAATTTTCTGGAGCAAATTCATGCCAATCTTTGAGCCTATTGTCACTTTCACACATGCTCACAGGAACAAAATGACAAAGAATGCTATGCCTGAACCACTAGATTCAGGGCACAAAACACTTGATTAACAATTGTCAAGGCTGGGTAGTAAATATTGACAGATATTTTCAAAATAAATTAACCCCACCATTTCCTACATAAATCATAGCTCCTGGTGTCTTTGAAGGATTCACCAGACTCTTGGACTTCCAGACATTTTCTGAAAATGTGGCTACAGTCTCCTTGTGTGACACAACTGGGAGTGAACAACCCATTTACCAATTGCTGATGAATACCGCTAAACGTTTCCCCAGACAAAAGAGCATTAAATGCGATTCCATGCACATTTATTCTTCCTTCATAAATGAGCGTTCTCCCAAATTTCATTTTATGTCGTATACTTAAAGTTAAATACAGCAAGTTGAAATTTTAGTCAAAAAGCACTCCTGTATCTTACTAGCTGTGTAACTGCTACATCTGGTGGCAGCACACTTGCATGCAAGAAACCAGAAAACTTAGAAAACAATTGTAACCGATCTGGTGCGTGTTTCCATTAACCTTTACGCCGATATTTCCCACAAAACCCACGACCCTGTCAGAGAACAGTAGCCTACTTGCAGAAGAGCGATAACGCACAAACACGCAGGAGGTGATGGCGAAGGAGAGAAAGTTGCAGCCATCTGGAGGGGGTGGTTTTAAAAGCCTGCCCACGAGTCAGTCTGTCGTTTAAATTGCTCTAAGGGGCCAGGCAGGGGATCAAAGTCGGCTTTGATAATTTAAGCGACTCTCCCCAAAGGGCAGGGACCCTGCTAGCGAGGGCATCCTTCAGGTCCCGGGCTGCAAAGCTCGCAGAGCCGGGACCGCCTCTATGGGAGGAGTGCGCGAGGGAAGGGGAGGGGGCTCAAGGATGAATGCTTGAAAGGGAGGGAAAACCCACCAGAGACCGGAGGCCAGGAGGTTAAGAGTACTGAGTGTACTAGCAAATGGAGCAGAAAGGGGTTGGCGTCCGGGGGGAGGCTTCTCACCCTAGCAGTACTGGCTCTTAGGAACCCCATACGAGTCTGCGCGCCTCGCCCCGTCCCCTCCAGCGCGCACCCCCTCGTCCGTCTCCGCCGCCACCCGCGAACCACCACCCACAGCCAGCGCACTACCTCCCCGGAGCCGAGCGGCCTCGCGTCCACCTCGCCACCATCCCCCACCCTGGGGTCGGGGGAAGAGACCCGGGGGGCGCGGGGGCTGCGGCGCGGGAGAGGAGGCCCGCGAGCGGGCGCGGGTGCGACGGCGCTTACCTTCCCTGGGCCTCCCGGATGGCGGCGTGTGATTCAGCAGGGACCTGGCCGCCGCCGCCGAGCCCGGGGTTGGAGACGTGGAGAGCTGGGACCAAGATGGCGGCCCCTCCAAACTTCCACTGCTACTTTGGACACTCATCAAGCTACTTTCTGGGAACCCGACTCCCCCCCTGCGACGGCAGCGGCGGCAACGGCACCGGCACCCGCCTCCGTCATGGCGGGGGCCGCGCTGAGGGCGAGCGAGGGAGCGAGGGCAGGGAGGGGAGAGTCAAGGGGATGGGGGAGGAAACCAAGAAGGGGGGGAGGTGGGGAGGGAAGAGGTGAGGGGAGGAGAGGGGACGGGGAGGAGGAAAAGGGGGAGAAGCGAGGGAGCAGGCGGGCGCGCCGGGGAAGAGGCGGAGGGAAGAAGCGCGGCGGCGGAGGCGTCGAGGGGGCGCCCGCTGGAGTGCAGGCGGAGCGCGGGCTGCGCCGGCCGAGGACACTTCCGCGAGCGGAACCTGCCGGCACCTCTGCAGTGCGTCGGCCCCCGGCGTCGCTTGGGTGGCGGCGGCGGCGGCGGGCGGTGGGTGGCGGCTGAGGCGGCGGGGTAACCTCTGCATCAGTTACAGGCGGCGGCGGCGTCACGCGCCGCCTGTGCAAACACTATCGCGAGGCTCCTGCGCCTCCGGTAGCGGCGGCGGCCGCGGGAGCGGGCATGGGGGAGGGACCTGCCAGGGGTTGGGGGCGGGGGGGGATGGAGAGGGAGCCAGCGCGCGAGGGAGGGAGGAGACGCGGGCGCCGGGCGCCCCTGGCGCACCCGCGGATCGCAGCGCGGCGCGGGAGCCCCGGGCTGGCGGACTCGCGTGCGCGGGGGCGATCTCCCCGCGCCGGCCGGAGGGAGGCGCACCCCGCACGCGCCCCCGCCGCGTCGCTCGGGCTCCGGCTCCCGCTCCGATGCCACCTGACTCCGCCACCCCCCTCCCTCCCGCGGAAGCGCGCCTGGCTCCCGACCCACACCCAGCCTGGGGAGAAATGCTTCTGCTCTCGCTGGGCTGTCGTTCGCAGGAGTTCTATGTGATCATTTCTCAAAATGGAACTGAAAAGTTAAGAGTTGCTTCTTTCTTGCCCCTCTGTACTGTGCAGAAAAACCTGCGTGCGTCTCCGCGTCTGCAGAATGGGAGTGATTACCGAATAAAAGAGCTAAGAAACTAAGCCGGGGGCGAGGGTGGGTGAAAATAAAACTTTATGAATGTTTTCTAAAAAGAGAAAGAATCTTTACCGGTGTTGTGCACTGTGTGTGTGATATAGCAGTTCTTTTTTTAAAAACAGTAAATGGACATCGAAATAGAAAATTTTGATTAATTCATATATTTAGGGAAACTATCCAATGTTCATCTTGTGGAAGAGGGCATGGTTTCTAGAAAGTTCCAATTTGTTGCCATGCCACTGCTGAGTCCCGACTAGAAAATCCCAAAGCAAATTACAGCATTTGCTAAAATTTATAGATACAGTGTAGCTTTCTACACACCCACACACGTAAGACACACCAGGGATTGGGCATCTTGTTCATAAAAGAGCAGTCTAATAGTTCAGGAAAAATACAACAAGGTTATTGCTCTCTAAAAAACCAAATTGAATAGAACACTAAACAGATTATGATATAGAGCAACTGCATATAGACAGGAGGAAATGGTATGATTACCAGGAGGACAAAAATGTCATTTCTATTTTTTATTTTTATGACTTTGCATTTCTCACAGTAATGTTGTGTTCAGATAAACTATCATACTAGAATAGAACCTTGGTTGTCAGTTTTCTCCAGAAGTAATTTTAGGTTTCTTATGCTTCAGATTATTCAGTGAGTTTTTAGTCATGTTGTGCTTTTCAAACTTATGAGGCAGATCTCACAATTAAACAACTTTTGTGAAGTATAACTGACATACAATAAACACATTTAAAGTGTACAATATAAGCTTTGATGTGTATACAACCCTGAAACCAATTCTACAAGCAAGATAATATATCCATCAGTCTCCACAAAGTTTCCTCTACCCTGTTGATGTTCCTCTTGCACTCCAACCCCACCCCCAAGTAACCACACATCTGCTTTCTGTCACTTAGTTGCATCTTCCAGAATTTTAGATATATGGAATCATAGTCTGTACTTGTTTAGCTTCTTTTTCTCAACATAACTGAGTTTCATCTATATTGTTGTACTTCATAGTTTATATTTCTTATTGCTGAGTATTCCGTTGTATGAATATACCCCTCTTTGTATTGTTCACCTGTTGATGAACATTTGCATTGTTTCCACATTCAGGCTATTACAAATAGTGCTACTGTGAACTTTCCCTCCTGTAAAAGTGTTTGTGTGTGGGGTACCTGGGTGGCACAGTTGTTAAGCGTCTGCCTTTGGCTCAGGTCATGATCCCAGGGTCCTGGGATCGAGCCCCACATTGGGATCCCTGCTCCACAGGAAGCCTGCTTCTCCCTTTCCCACTCCCCCTGCTTGTGTTCCCTCTCTCGCTGTGTCTCTCTCTGTCAAATAAATAAAGTCTTTAAAAAAAAGAACAAGTGTTTGTGTGGACATAGGCGTTCTTTTCTCTTGGATACATACCTAGGACCTTACTATTGGATTTTTATACCAAAGTACATGCACTCTAAGGGGAAGCAGAGTTTCTCTAAAGGACATATAGGTAAATGTATGATCTTTCTGTATTTTAAGACTAAGCTTAGCTGACTGTGGTGAAATGAGCATAAGACAGAGGAAGTCAAGACACCTGGGTATTAGTCTCAGCAGGTAACAATCCCTCTTGATTCAATTTCCTCATCTGTGAAAAAGAGGTTAGCATCACTAGGTGATCTCTAAAGTGCCTACCAATGCCTAGACTTCATACAGAGCTCAGCTCCTCTCCAGTAGTAAACAAAACCCAACCAAAGAGATCTGATGGTAGGTTATCTTCCTCCCGACCTTCCCCACAGCTTCAGGTTATCTTTATACCAACCCAGGTTACATTTTAGGCAAGCTTGCTCCTTTTATTTTAAATGGTACGTAGAGGATCACAGCATAAACATAATTCAATTCAGATATATTGTTGTTATGAATGCTGCCTAGGAAGGACAATTGAATGATTGGTTCCTGCTTTCTTGCGGTTTATGTTAAAGATCACCAACACTAACTTACTTGTAAAGAGGCTACTGCCAGCAGTAGGGAGCTAATTAAATAAACCATGGCTTAGCCTGAAAATGGAATACCATGCCATCATTTAAAATCAGGTTTTCAAAGAATACTGAAATAGATAAAATTTTCACACTGTAGTACGTGAAAAGGTGAGTATGATCCCAATTTCTGTATAAGCATACATAAAAAATGACTACAAGGATGTACCCCAAACAGTTAATAATAGCTAGCCTTGGGTCTGAGATTAGATAATTTTTCTTTCCTCCTTTATGATTTTCCAAACTTGGTACAATGGATCATTTTTAAGTAATTAAAACTAAAATTATACAAACATTTAATTTTATGAAATGATTATGATAAATGAAAACTTCAAGGGTGAGTAGAGGCTCCCATATCTTGCACATCAGCTAATACATAGACATTCAAAAATTGTTTGATAGAGATGGGATGGCTAGAGTGATAACTTGCACAATAGCACAAGGTACAGAATAGTCAGGAGAGTCCAGATTCAGACAGCAAGAACACCTGCCACTCTGGGGAAGGAGAAATTGAAAGAAAAGCAAGGAAAGCATTGAAAGGGGGGTATTGGCAAGGTTCTTTGGGAAATATTCCCAGAGGGAAAGCCAGCATGAGAACACAGGAGTGAACTGAGCAAGTAAAAGGAGAATGCAGTAAACCTGCCCAGAAAGAATCAGGATGAGCTGGGGAAAATGTTCTTCCTGAGAATTGAGTGCTCCATGAGGACAGACTCAAGCCCTTAGTACTGTGCTTGGCACAGACCAAGGGCTCTGTCAGTGTTTGTGGAATGAATGAATGAATGATGATCAGTGAACTGGGATACAGGTGAGGGAGCAATGCAGGAAAAAAGGTCTTCAAGGGTCTGCTGATAGGTCATATACAAAAGGGAATATCTGAGTCCTAATCTATACACTGATCATAATTTATAACTATGTTTATTAGACTCCATTTATACATCATAGTAAAAATATTTGCAAAGCAGACAATACTATAGATATAATAAATGCATTTTATACCTCTTACCATTTGATTCCTTCTAAATTTGAAGAAATAATTAATATCTAAGTTCCTTTCCCCCAAACCAATCAGAAATTAGCCCAGAGAATGGATGAAGTGTCCTTTCTAAGTATTCTCCCATACAATGGGTGCTAGAGCCAGTTCATACTGCGCAGAGAGCAGATTGTGTGCATCTCTCCCCAACTCAGTTCAGTGATGTCACACTGGTAGCTTGAAATCAGTATTTACAACTCCAAAGTCATCAAAGCTACAAATCAGGGCTCCCTCACCAGCATACCACTGCTCGCATAGTGCATACATCATTTCCTCGCTGTCCATTTCCCTGCCTAGGGAGGAGAAGGACCTTGTCTGTTATGTTTATAGTTGTATTCCCAACGTCTAGCACCTGCCTGGCATCAAGTTGATGCCGTATACATATTGGTTCAGCCAGTTAATTACCCGCATACTGGTTAGCAAGCATTTGAGCCCTCTGAGCTAACAACTGAGTTGGCTGCTCTGGCAGAGGAAAAAAGGACCAAATAATCTACCACCCCCTCACACTTCGTTGGCCAATGTTTGTGATTTGGTAAAGTTTACTGACCTTGTTAGGGTTGCCAGATGAAATATAATTTTTGCATGGACCACACTAACACTAAAAGAGTATTGGTTGTTTATGTGAAATTCAAAGTTAGCTGAGCATCCTGTATTTTTACTTATTAAATCTGGCAACCCTGGCCCTTTTGTTTTTTGTTTTTTTAAAGATTTATTTATTTATTTATTTGAGAGAGAGAATGAGATAGAGAGAGAGCATGAGAGGGGGGAGGGTCAGAGGGAGAAGCAGACTCCCTGCTGAGCAGGGAGCCTGATGCAGGACTTGATCCCAGGACTCCAGGATCATGACCTGAGCCGAAGGCAGTCGCTTAACCAACTGAGCCACCCAGGCGCCCAACCCTGGCCCTTTTGAACTAAGCAGAAAATAGTTAATGAGTTATTACCTAGTAAAGTGGAATACTATGACCTGGAAATTCCATTCCAAAGAATATATCCTACAGGAATTCTTGCTCATGTGCTATAGGACATAAGAACAAGAATGTTCATAGCAGCCAAAAACTGGAAA